TGACCCCCAGCCCTATTGCCAGCCAAATGCATTGCCCCGAGCAAACCACATCACAGGCCAAACAGAAATCTGCAAATCAGCACAGACATTTTAAAAAATGGGCAGAGTCCAGTGGGGAGTCTCTCTTGTTGGTTGACGGCACCTCACCCAGTTTCCTTCCCACGATACATTCAGACTATCGGTCAAATCCATTTTATTTCTAATGAAAACAGATGGCAACTTCCTAACAGCAAGTCTTATCGAACTACTGACATATCTTCAGCTAGCCCTCTCTCCATGGAGAAACACACACAAATCTAAATACATGTGTATGCTTGTGTATGTAAATACCTATTCATTATTTTGAAATTCCTTTCTGTATGCAGGACTTCAGACGCAGATCTCATCATTTCTCGGTTTACTTACTCCAGTGCTAGTGTTTATATTTTCCAGAGGCCTCTTTAGTGGGCTTGTTTCACCCTGTTTTGTTTTTTTGTTTGTTTGTTTTCATTTGGCAAAACATTCCATCTCTCTTTGCTCTCCCCAAATTGTAAGGCACAAGGAAAACAACGAATCTCCCCGAATGTGCTACCTTAATACCACAACCACCACCATTTTCGCTCATTTTTTCCAGTATAATTTGTTTCACTTAACATTATTTCATAAATGCTTTTCTATGATACTAAATAATCTTTATAATTATCATTTTAATGGCCTCAGTGAGTGAACGGGCACCATAATTTACTTAGCTGTTTACCTATTGTTAGGCATTTAGTTGCGTCCACTTTCATTCTTTTGAGTTGAAATGAACATTTTTATATAAGCTATTAATTTAAAGCAGCATGCAGAGACGACTCCACATCCCTAATCTAAAAATACAGGGTTTATATATTTACAACTCACATTTGATTGTGAAATTTAATTTGAGGGTAATTAAGACATTTATATTCCAAACAGCTCCTTGACATCTCCCTCTGCCTGAGCCAGGCAAGTGCAAGCATGACTAGCCTTTTTAACCTCAAGACAGCACAGTCTAATGAATTCTAAAACACAGTTTTCTTAAGAAAAATAAATTTCATGAACTCCTACTGCTTCAGAGACTAGAGATTAAGCCCAAGAACTGGAGTCCATGGTTCTCTGGGGTGACCCAGCCAAGGCAAGCTATTAAAAATGCCAGGCCTGATGGCTTATGCCTGTAATCCCAACACTCTGGGAGGCCAAAGCAGGTGGATCACTTCAGCTCACAAGTTCAAGACTAGCCTCTGCAAGAATGAGACCCTGTCTCTACTAAAAATAGAAAAAACTAGCCAGCCATTGTAGCAGGTGCATGTAGTCCCAGCTACTTGGGAGGCTGAGGCAAGAGGATCTCTTGAGCTCAAGAGACTGAGGTTGCTGTGAGCTATGATGATGCCCCAGCACTCTACCCAGGGCAACAGTGAGACTTTTTTTTTTGAGACAAAGAATGCCAATCTGGTTTCATGCATAGTCCGGAATTCAAGGCAACCCTCAGTCAGTGCTGAAGGGCCAACTGTGCTCCTGGGACGTACCCAGGGCTCTGCGCATGACCTGCAGCCAGATGCTGCATGGAACAGGCCGAGGAGATTGTTCAGATGAGTTTCAGTTGTCGGATGCTTTTTGAAGTTGACCAGGCAGGGTTCACATCAAGTTACAGATTTTCCTGATTAGATATAGTGGTTTAATGTATGAGCTTCAGACAAAACCAGCCATTTCAACAGGTGTAGCCTACTATCTGTGACTCAGAACACGTAGAAAAAATAAAAATCATGTGCCCCAGCGTTCAGTCTGCAGTCTGAGCCCATCAGGAGGGCCTCCCCATACGGCTACCTTCTGCACAAGGGAACAGTGACATTGGTTGGACAGAGAAGCACAAAACTCTGCACGGAATGTTAATGTAGCACTATGACATATGTGCGTTCATTTGCTAAATGCATGAAAGGAGGGGACTGAAGCAGGGCACAAGGAAGTCCCACTTGTCTTATGGACAGTCTTCTGTAGAATGCCCCATTTACCTTCATGATAAAACCATTATAAGCATAACCCGTCCCCCCAATAAATAGTACATGAACACCCTGAAAGATGTGTCCACCTTAGTAATTCTTAATGTCCAGGAAAATTCCACTTGAAAGCCTTAGAAAATGTCAGTCAGCCATCAAAAGCAACTCAGAACCTCCTCTGTGGCCAACATAAATCAACTTCAAAAATTCCTCAGTGTTTTCCCAGTCAAGGAAATCAGGACGACTCAGTTACTACTACTTAGAAAAAAGTCAGCAACAATAATCTAGAGCGATCAAACATCTTCAGTATCACGGTCATTTTTACTAATAAGGAAACAATTTTGATGTATTTAGGAAATCTCTGTAAGACAGAAGACCTCAGAATTTATTTTTTTATTATTTTGCCACTGGCAATTAATTCTTCTGATTTGTTTGATTAGTTTGATGGTTAGAATATTTCTTAACACCAGCAGACTGATGTAAGAAAATTATTTCAATGCAGTTCCTGGCAAATCTTGATGATGAATAGCATAACATGGTAGGACAAACTTATCCAGACACACATTTTTCAGTAGTGGCAGGGAAAAGGCTGAAGAATTACTAGTAAATTGCTTTCTGTACAAATGCTCTCTCCTTCAGATTTCCCCTCGTATGAAGGTCTTCTGCAGAATGATAGCACAATACATTCTGACACACCTGGACGACGAAGGCAGTTAAACAATAAACGGGATGAGAGTGAGGGTTAAGATTTAATTTTCTTCTTGTACCCCCACTATCGCCCCTCACACCAAATTCTCTGTGTACGTCTCTTTAACTTACTAGGACAAGTATGTGTACACGACAGCTATGCTCTCCCCAGAGCAGGCATGCCCTGACCCACCTCCCACCCCAACCCAGCCCTCCCTAAGCAGAGCCGGGATAGTCCTGCATCCTTCGCCTATTTCTCTCCTTTCCCTTCCTCTCTGAAACTGTGCAGTATTCTGAGTTTCAAATTGCAGAGATGTCCAAGTATCTCCAGCACCTAGGAAAGCACCAGAGAGTCCTCGGCTTTCCACGCCAGCCTTGCCTTTGAGGACACACTGAGCAGGAGCCGTAGGTACTGGAGCCTCAGGGCCACTGCAGTGGTTCTCAGCCAGGGGCACTTTTGCCTCCAGGCTCTCAGGGCATTTCTAGTTGTCACCCCAACAGGAGGAAGTGCTATTTCTATCTAGTGGGCTGAAGCCAGGGACGCTGCTGACCCTTCTGTCCTACATAGGAGAGCCCCTCCAACAATGAAGGATCCATCCTAAATTATCAGCAGTGCTGTGGTTGAGAAACCCTGGTCTAATCTAATCAAATGCTGCAGAGATTATTATTTGTTCCTCAGATTTGATGACCAACGGGTCCTCCCTGGCATAATGCAGGAGAACTTGATCTTTCTCTTAGCCTTTGGCTCAGTAGACACTGGAGGAGGCCTGCAAGGTGGCAGGACCACACAGGCCTGAGATGCAGAGGTCAGTTTAACAAGTCCCCAGACTGCAGAGGGAGCCAGACCCATGGCTCAACTCTCAGGTGGGGGCTATGAAGTTTTTCCTTTCACTGAGGCACTGCTGGACACTAGAATCTGTCAGAAATTCTAGCAGAGGTCCTGCTCCTGCCAGTGCTTCATGCTGTGTCACTTTGAGCAAGTGACGTAACCTCTCTGATCCCTAGTTCCTCCTTGGAATGGGAAGTGTGACAGTGACCTTCAGAGCCCCCTGGAAGCAAGGTGTTCTATCTGTGTGCACTAGCTCTACACCAGTGTCACAGTTTTCTTGCAAGTTACCGGGCTGGCTTCCCAGGCTTCCCCAGGACAGGGCACAAGCTCTATCAGTGGTTGGGCTAGACCTTGTCCTTGACTCTGCCTTTCTGGGCACTAGGCTACAGCCACTGGGGCCCTGCTTCCTCCCATCTGACTGTTTCCTTCTCAAACGCAGGAGAAGATAGTGAAGGATAACTCACAAACAACATACTTAACTGCATTCTCTCACTTTAAGCGCAACCGTCACGTAAGTTCCTCCATGTGCAGTAAACAGCTGTGAATCCGCCTAATAAAGTGAAGGCGTTTACCCCACTGGTATTCCCCAAGAGGAATCATGGGCCACCTGCATCTTTTTAGCTGCATTTAATAATTCAGCCCAGGATGAATTTGCATGATTAACATAAAGCCTCATGATTTTATTTTCTTTCAGGATTTCAGTACTGCAACCACCACCATTGTTTTCATTTTCAGAGGTTGTGATCAAAACACAAAACTTGATCCTAGAATGAATAATTTCTTTTATTAAAAAAAATTATTTTCTAGGACTGCTCTCCATGGAATCAAAGGAAAGAGTTGCTAACACCGCCTCTGTACATGCAGGGAGGCTAAAGTTCTTCTCGTGGCCAGTGTTAACCCCTTAGAGGCTAAGCACCCCTCAGCGGTTTTTCCTCTTGGGATTCCTAGGGAGGCGTACAGCCGGCTCTCCCACAGAATCCATAAAGATTAACGTAAATAGCATTATTTTGCTTCCTCCTAATAGCTCTCCATGCTCATCTAGTCAGGAGGTAGAACTATCAGCAGAAGTTTTTAAAACAACAGTCCCCCCAGGTGCCAATAACAGATTGATCATGTCATGCTCAAAAATTAGTAAAAACCCAGACCAAATAAGTTGCATTTGGTAAACCATCTGCCTGTGAACTGGAGACAGTGTGAAAAGCTAGCATCCCCAGTTTCCCCGATGAATGTAGTGAAACAGGTTTGTCTAACAGGGAAACCTGCAATACTTCAAAAGAAAAAACGAGTGTATCCCACCCGGAAGAGCAAGCAGACTGTAGTATCTGAGAAGCATTTCAAGCTGTGCCTGCCAGCAACTCCCCGCCTGTGTGATTTTCCTTTACACAAAGGCCGACCTCACCTGTTTGGAAATAATTAGGACGCGGGCGGTTGTGATGTTGGCTAGACGTTAGCACCGCCGTGCCTGCCTGTGTATTTCCATTCTGCTGACCCCTCTCTTGCTGTTTCTGATGCAGGAACCATGGTCACTAAGGAAAGTGGCAAATGTATACTCACAGCGTCAGAGAGCGAAGTGGAACCTGCCGCCTGCCTGGCCCTGGAGATGAAATACGCCCTGGATCCCAACCGGCAGATTAAAAAACGCAACAAAGCCCTGCAGGTGCGGTTTAAGGATATCTGCGAGGCGCAGAACGAGCAGAGGGACGCGCAGCTGTCCTCGGGACAGCAGGGGGAGAAGCGGGAGGCCAAGCCCGTGTCCTGCAGGGCGGCCTACCGCAAGTACATGACGGTGCCCGCGCGCAGGTCCATCCCCAACGTCACCAAGAGCACAGGCGTGCAGACCTCGCCCGACCTGAAGAAGTGCTACCAGACGTTCCCGCTGGACCGCAAAAAGGGGACCCTCAAAAGTCTCCCGGCCGCAGATCCCTTTAAAAGCCAAAATAATGGGTTTCTAGCGGATGCTAAAGAGAAGAGCCCGGGTGGACACCCGGACGAGGCCAGACCATGCAGCGCTGGGCGAGTGCACAAGACCACAGCCTTGGTCTTCCATTCCCAGGAGCACGTGGACTTGGAGGAGCCGCCGTCGGGCCTCAACTGTGCGGAGCCTTGCCACAGCCCCGACCTGCTGGGCCATGGAGACGCTGCTCTCCAGAACGCCATCCGGCCTCCCCGCGAAGAGCCTGACCACCAGCTGCAGGGGACAGCAAAGCAGGACCCAGGGACGCCAGACTCTGAGGAGCCCACCCTGCCTGCCCTTGGGAGGGTTTTTAAAACGGAAGTCGCTGCCGTCTACGCACCCGCCCTCAGTGCCAGGGCTGCGGAGCCTGGCTTGTCAAACTCCGCCACCCCAAGCCAGTGGTCGCTGTGCCCAGTGGACGATGACCCACGGAGAGCCGCACACGTCAATGGGCTCCAGGTCCCCGCAGGCACCGCCCTGGCCTGCTCGCCCCCAAGGCAGTGCCTGTCCCCCGAATGTAGCGGTCAGCCCGTGCAGACTCGAACCCCATCGAGGCAGGGCAGCCAGCCTAGCTCAACCGCAGCGGCTGCAGGTGAAGAATGCCAACAAATCGTGCCTCATACAGAAGTGGTGGACCTCAAAGCACAGCTTCAGATGATGGAGAACTTGATCAGTTCCAGCCAGGAAACCATCAAAGTGCTCTTGGGGGTCATTCAGGAGCTGGAAAAAGGAGAGGCTCACCGGGAGGGGTATGTATGTTCACCCCGATCTTAACAAGCTCTGCAGGCCCATCACCCTGGGGGGTCCATCACTAGCCCCCAAAGCCTAACTCCCTAAAGAAACTAAAGCCAGCGGGTCTGTAAACAGGGCGCAATCAAAGGACATAGCAAGCCCCAAAGGGTAACTGACTATTTTATGCTGCATCTTCACTTTCACCATTCACTTGGTGGTCAGCATTCACCTCTCTGGCCCTGAATTCAAGCTGTACCTATATTTCGAATGAATTGATGAATCTTTCAGTCTACCAGGACTAAGGGTTTATGATATTAATCATGTATAATATAGATATGCCGGTCCAAAATATCTCATCTAAATGAGAAGCTGTTTGCCTCTTAGAAATCATACTTATTATGGACAAGAAAAGAAATTTCAGATGGCACTTGTGAAGGTAAATGCTGACTTGCTCGTAATAATTGAAATAGTGGTATTCAGGAGCATAAAGTTTCCTACGATAGGCAATATGTTCTGCATTCTTTACCTGGAACTCAGGCAATGCCCATCCTCAGTCCAGCCCTCGCGGGGTATGATCAGGAGGCACGTCTCTTCCCATGGGCTGGCCTACGTGTCTGCTTGGGCTGTAGTATGATACCAAGTTCACAGCCAGTACTGTCTAGCTCTGATAAGAGCCTGGTGGGTTTTAGAGTTTTTTGAAGTTGAAATTTTGCAGCAGCATCTTTAAAGACAGATAAGACCTTAGTTCTTGGGCTCCATAGGTAGGAAGACAGACACGCACAGGCCAGGCAGTATAAAGTTATAAGTTGATAAAGCAACCAGCACTGTTTGGCCTCATGCTTTTGGAAATACTGCCCTTGGCTTACCAGCCTCTGCCTGGACTGCCAAGACTTCTCTTTCCCATTTCCCCTCGAAATGGCCTTGACTTCTGCTCATCTGTATTGTAGAGCCTAGATCTGAGGCCACACCCCATTGTCTCATGTAACTTGTACCCTTGACTTTGTGGCCCCTGAGCCTTGGGTTAAGTAAACTGGAAGCCAGCTTAAAAGAAGCCAAGAAATGCATCATCAGAATAGCAAACTACCTGGGGACAAAGAGCCTCCCCAAGAGGATTGCTGTGGTCAAACCAGTTAGTTTTGCTTATTGTACATAATGGGGAAGAAACAGCCTGTCTTTCTGAGCTGGGCGGTGAGGAGAGGGAAGCCCTGTGTCAGCAGCCAAGTGCCGATGCAGGTTGTGCCCTCTGCTCTGGCTTTGTGCAGGTCTATCTACAGAGGAGTGAGTGTTCAATACCTACCTCGCCTGCCTCCACTTTACACAGTAGTATTTGCATTTGAGGCTAATAAGCAAAAATAATTGCTAGACAAATACAAAATAACAGTAGATTAATAGGTAATGTGACACTATCAGATAATTTCAGAAGGCCTGTTCAGTCTTGGGTTGGCATCTCCATTTTCATCCCATTTCAATCGGTACATCCCCCAAAGCAACACACACAGCTGGAGCAAGGGAGGTCAGGGCCTTCATCAGGAGACCACATTCCATGGAACAGTTAAAAGCACAAACAGTGACTCAGTCACTTCGATATAGCTGGTGGTGACATGAACCAGAAAGCAAGACAGAAAGATACATCCCCAGTTGGAAAATAAAGTTCACCAAATGGTGTGAAGCCCTGTGTGTTTGCTCACGTGCGTACTCACAGAGGCATTTCCCAAATAAGAAGCTGAGACACCAGGAACGGAGAACCATGTAGGCTCTGTCCGTAGATAAGAACAAGTATGGAAAATCACTTTAAATAGGGTCTTTTGGGAGTCTGTCCATCTAGCAAACTGGTTTTGAGTTTACTAAGACGACCTATTCTGGCTCTGGGGATTTGGGTACCTCTCTGTGCCTTATCTCTGCACCCTAGGTTGGAAACCGTGGCCCTCCTACGGGGAGCAGGGGGATGAGGATTACACAGTGAGGCTTTCTGTATATTCAGTCCAGTGGCAGGTGCATCAATATAGCAGATTTCTGCCAGTGGCATGAGTGTTGGTCTTACTGGTCAGCAATGTTGGGATCTGGGGAACATTTAGTGGCCCTGTGTGTGTCCAGCACGATGAACTCAGCCCCTCACATGCATGGCACAAAGGCTGCCACTCAGCCCTGTCCAACAGAGTGGCCACCATACATATGTGGCTATTGAAATTCAAAGTCAATTACAATTAATCACAATTGAAAATTTAGTTTCTTGGTCACACTGGAGCATTTTAAGTGCTCAGTAGCCACAAGCAGAGGACACACAAAACGGCACAGACAAAGAATGTCTCCATCATCATGAGAAGTCCTTTTCTCCATTATCCCCCAAACATGGCACAGTGCCCGGTTCCTAACCATCTGAGGACTTGGGTGCCTTTAATCAAGACAAATCAATCCCTAGTTCAGTGGCTGCCTGTGCAGGACAAGCTCACAGGGGGAAGCAGAAAGGCAGGTCCCAGTTATACTCCTGAGGACCATGACTCTCACCTCCCTCTCCGGGCCCTCTGGACTCATGTAACAATGAATCGAGTGGTTCCAGGCTCCAGGGCCACCTGGAAGGCATCCCCTCTTGCAGAATGCCCAGGGTCAGTCATTTGGCTAAATTCAAATTTCCCACTACTGTTCTCCATGCGGGGACACAGGAGAGGGCAGCAGCCTCAGAGGTGGGCAGATAACAAGCAAACGCGCTCGCCCAACCCTTCCCAGGCCCCTGCACCCAACAGAGTCCCCAGCAAGGGAGCAGTGAGCAGAGGCAGCCAGCACTGTGCTGGGACATCGGAAAAAACCGGCTCTGGGGGAGGGGTGTGCAGCATCTGCTGATTTCCATGCTGTGAATGCAGCTACAGTGGCCAATTTCAATCAACTCGCAAAATCCTGAAAATTTAACACTCTGTTCCCTGAGCACCTGGCCACCCCCTTGAATGGCTCCCCTCAGGGAGTGAGGAGGAGGCGGGCACAGGGCTGGCTTTATGTATAGGATCTGAGCTGGGAAACAGATGTCTCTGTTGCATTTTATAGTAAAAGAAAAAAAAGAAAGAAAGAAAAAGAAAATGGACTTTATTTACTTTATTATACAGTTATGTGACATGATAAAAATCTGAATGGCCAAGTTAAAATATCAATGGAATTTTCCTTGGGAAATATTCTGATTTCTACAAGTCATTTTATAGAATGCTCAGGGGCTGGGGAAAGCCAATTCCTGTCCCTACCTGCCACCTCCAATAAAGCATGGAGGGGCTTTGTGCAGAATTTTACCTGTATTAAGAGGAGTCCTCATGGAGACAGGCACCTTGTAGCCTATGACTTTGAATGCAAGTGGTAAATTTGGCCCCCAGATCTCTACATTGTCCAGGCTGCCACAGGTCTCCAGGCTGACCTGTCTCCAAGAAGGCCATGGGCCTGTGTGGCAGGTGCTGTTAGGATGGAGCAAGGGAAGCTGGTACTGTCTGAAGCCGACTAACAGTCTGGCAACTGATATTTCTTGGGACATACTTAACATATTTCATGTGTAATGTCCTTAGTAGGACTTTTTCGCTATGGAGTTTGTCAGGCAAGCGCTTTCCCCATAGCTCTTACTGTGTGGAATTTGTGTCACCAGCAATGACCACTTCCAGGAGCTTCCAAATTATTTTTCTTTTTTTTTTTTTTTTTTTGAGACAGAGCCTCAAGCTGTCACCCTGGGTAGAGTGCTGTGGCATCACAGCTCACAGCAACCTCCAACTCCTGGGCTCAAGCGAGTCTACTGCCTCAGCCTCCCAAGTAGCTGGGACCACAGGCGCCCGCCACAACGCCCGGCTATTTTTTGGTTGCAGCTGTCACTGTTGTCTGGCGGGCTGGGCTGGATTCAAACCCGCCACCTTAGGTGTATGTGGCTGGCACCTTAGCGGCCCGAGCCACAGGCGCCGAGCCCAAATTATTTTTCTTAAGAGGTGTTTTCATGAATCTCATTTGCTTATGTAGATTTCTGAAAGAGTTCAGAGAAATTTGGAGCCGAGACAGTTTACTTAACTGCAGTGGGCTTCAGTTTTATGGTAAATCAGAGCGCACTGGGAGAAGCTTGACTAAGATACCTACAAAGCTCCTTACCATAAGCAGTGCACAGTCAGCCCTACCTGGATAGAGCACACGTCCTATTACCAGCATTCTAGTAGGGGGAATTCTGTAAGGAGGTAGTTGTAAGAAAAGAATTCAAACTCAGGCCTTTTGGTCATTTGAAAACATTGAGACAATTGACTAAACCCATTCTGCTCATGCAGTGCAGGTAACATTTGATCACTGAGTTTGCACAAATGCCAAGAATTATCCCACTCATTTCAAAGCTTTCAGTATGATGCTTGTCTCTTCTAGGAAGTTCAGGGTAATGCAGGCCACTTGAATAAGCCACTAATGTAGTCAATGAAGGCTGAGAACCAAGCAAATGGGGCACTGAATTTAGAAACCCAGCTAAGTGTTGGAAAGTGGTAATTCCCACTGGCAGCCATGGGTCCTGGGCAGGAGAGCTTCAGATCAAGTGGTGGCAGGTCTTGACTAAGGGTTGTGCACACTCACAAGCACCTGTCGGGTGGCAAACTTGATGACGTCTCACAGTGCAGACAGCTCTGTTTGCTTCTAAGATTACTCACTCCAAGCACTAAGCCTCTTCACGTTTTCACTGCATGGTGACAGCTTAATGATGCTCTGCTATTCAGAGAAGACCCCAAACCAGTGTGAGAAGCTTTATTCAAGATACCAAGGGCATGGTCCGGATCTGTGCAGAGTGAAAGGGTTTTTCTACTGGTCAGGTCTCTCCCAGCATCTGCCAGACGCTGGCTGTAGGCTGGGGTTGAGGGGAGAGAGCAGAACCCCAGGTCCTTAAACACACCCAGTAGGCAGTGATTAGAGCGTGAGGCTTGGAGCAATCCCAAGTCAAAGAAAACTGAAGGCATGACTTTAAAGAAGAAAATTCTAAACAAGCCAAACCAGGGAGCCTGGCAGCTTTCAGGAGAGGTGCAGACCTACT